AGTTAAATCCTGGTTTCGTGGTGGTTGTCGGAACCATGGCCTTAATGTTCTATACCATAACGAGAATTCGGCATGTATAACCACGGGAATTCGATTCGACAATTCAAGCCTGCCGAGGTACTTCATGAAATACGCTAATATTTTTAAACTTTTTACCTTACACTGACAAATTAAACATCAGCGGTACAAAACAGTGTTCAAAATAAAATCTAATTTCTAAATTTTACAACGCGTCAAATATACACATCCTTAAACAGCGGTTCGACAAACAGAGTAATTAAAAATATGTATTTACTTACATTTACCACTGTTAATGATGGTAATATACATTTTCAAATAAGTTCTCATAAAATCCATTAGAAACGAACATAAATAACATTTCTATTAGCGAATTTATTTGATTATCTGTAATTTGAATTCACCGGCAAAATAAAGTTGATATTATTTCTCGCAGCTAAATAACGGAATGTCGCATCAACGCAGTTCCTATGCGCTGATGCATCCTTGTTTTCGTACTTTTCGCAGAAATGGACATTACTTTTATAGTGAAGTCCATTTCCTTGTGTTACTTTGCTACATTTCCACGAATCAAATAATCAAAAAATGGTGATTCTGTCATCCTCGTAAAATCCAACATTAAAGAGGGACAGCAGTTTACTAGAACATTAATCCCCGTTAACATTCCCGTGGATTGGAAATCATGTCATGTTTTCATCGCCGTACACATTCATTTTAGAAAGTTATGTGTACAAATTTCAATTAAACGACGAAGTGACAATTTTATCAATTCGCACACATCATATTGATTTATGACCCAATTCACGCGAATTTCAAACAGTTCAAATCTCGCGAATGGCGTATTTGCAGCGTCCTCACAAGCCGAAGTGCTACTTTTGACGGGCTCTGAAAAGCTCGTTACTACTGGTTTCCCTGTCGACCCTGAAAGCGTGTTGTGAATATTAAGCTCAAATACAATGATTCCGTAGAACTATACCAGAAGGATGTTTAATCGGTCGAACAAGTAAAAATATTTAAGTCAGAATAAATTAGCGCAAGATAGACCACTTTTCCCGGAAGTCGAATATACATGGTTTCGCATGCGCGGATACAGTTTTGGGGTGTAACGTAGAATTGCACGCGCGATATTGTACTTCTGGGTGTACCAAACGACGTCACAAAAATAAAATTTCCTTCTATCGACTATTACTTCCGGGTAAGTGGTCTATAGATTTGAAGAAAATATGAAGGCTTGCGTCCTTCAACCTTCGGTGTTTTTTCATCAAGGGGTGAGTAGGGACGCGTGATAACTGATTTGCTATGGGTATGAAGTGGTTTCCGTTCACTGCGAGAATCACGCGTTATGCGTGAAATCAAACGTAAAAACAGGACAAACAAAGGTCATAGCGTCGTAGTGGCGTCAAACATCGCGTGAGATTCGACAAACGCGAAAGTATTTTGGGGGACATTTCCATGTCAATAATGTGCTGTACACATTTGATGATGGGCAATTTCGATTAAGTGAGGATATTCGAATGCAATATTCTTCTGTCAAAGATCGGCCGGTCGAGTTCAAAATCAAATCGTTCGATTTTTGCGGCAGACGTTCGACGCGCGTCTTTCATGCATCTCGCGAGATCTCGCAGTTGTACGAAAATCACCTATTGTCATATTTTCTTTCTATGTAAACGACATTTCCACCGTTGTTCCCAAGACCGTTGCCGGGACACCATGGTTACATTCATTGCACAGACAATCGGAATAAATCACCTTTCCAGAATTGTAATGCGAAACCAATGTTCGATAGTTCCGGTTTCCGATGAACCGGTTCTTTACGACGCCGGGCACTGTGTAAACTCAAGGTTGCTGGTAGACTGACCTTGTCCTCTGGCAACTTATTTTATTGATGTGTGTGATAATTAAAAAAAATGCTGGTTCAGAACCAAAGATCGCAAAATACCATTCATAAAAAAAGAATTAACATAAAACAATTGCATTACATTGTATGGGTCTAGTGACATGATGGCAGTCACGAGGCGTTAGGTGTTAACAGAGCTGTTCAATGAGCACACATTCACTTTCCGTGACTGAATACTGCAGTTCATGGGCCCATGTTGTAAATAACACTTCTTACGATTATAGAATCTATACGGAGAATATAGATTGTGAATCCTGCCATCTGATTGGTGGAAACATCTCAGCCATGTTGGTCGGATCCTAAGGAGCCAGAAGTGCACGAAACGAATTGAGCGCGAGCCGAAATATTATACAACTATGTGCGGTGTTTTGACTGCTATAATGTAAATTGTTGGATACCACTTTTACTGACCTCACGGCTCGTTTAAATTTTCGATAACCGACTGTTTAGTAGTGTTTATAATCCTGATCAGTTCAGTCAGATTTGGCGCCCCCTACATTTTGTCAAACCCCGTAGCAGTCGATAGAGGGCGCAACGTAGACAGGCCCAACCGTGACAATTTTATAAAAACAATGAGTGGGGTCACATGTACGTCATGGAGATGCTACGTCGCCAGGGGGCACAATTTATAGAAAAGGTTTATAGTCGCCAGTTTTGCAATAGATTTGTATATTTTTTTGCAGTCAAGCACCTGAATGTCTGAAAAATTGTCGCTCACTAGTCAGCACTAGATCTGTTATGACATCCTGCCCATAATGTTTTATTAATAGGGACACCGACATATTTAATAAGAACAGCAGCCACCAACACCATTCAGTTTTTTTTATCTCCGAGTCGGGAAACGAACGACTGTTCCTGACGATCAGTCACTGCGCACGCGTGGAAGCATACTAGTATTACGTAAACAATTGCGACTTCATTAACATATTACAAACTAAAAGTTAATTGACTGTTATTTAGTTAGTTTTATTGCACGTTGGTCATTAATCATGAAGCAATGCGTTACGTCACTGGTTTTAACTGGTTTTGAAATATACATGATGTGTTGTTGTAGTTTTTTATTATGTGCCGTTTCTGTGATTCGCTCGCTTCAACTCTAGTTCGTTGACCGTAGACCAACGCTGACTTTTCTCTTTAATTATTACAAAAACCGTTCGAGCGCAACCAGTGTACTAGAAATATTGTGTCCTTGCCTGGCGTTATGATTGCTATTGGATGTTATATTCAACAACGGCAATGCGATCCAGGTTCGTGACAATTACGCTCATCAAAATTACTTTATTCGATGTAATAAATCAATTGTGAACTTTACGTCATTTTGGCATACGCGATAGCATATTATATGCGATTGCAATGTCATTATATAAAGTTATTATTAATGCAAATCAGAGTGGGAAAAAAACAGGTAGTCTGTTTATATTTGGATTGTGCGTGCCAATTTGTGGCGTAAAGAGGACATTAAATTCCACTTTATTGAACGCACAAATGTCAATTATAGCGTTGTTCCGTGAAGCTACGCTACATAAAAAAGTAATGATCATTTTCTCTGATTCCACGATTGGAGATACATCAGTGTACCAGTCACTCCTTCTTAAAAAGCGGTAAGTGAATAACGCCTTATTCGTCTGGCAGTGTAGACTTCAGAATTCATTGTTACATTTCGGGGACGCGTAACATGTCCTCCAACGCACAGGCACACGCGTACATGGTATATATATATATCTGATTTCGAATAAGTTTAACCTTCCATGTGTATTTTGAACAGTTACTTAGAACAAGGATTACTGAATATTGCCGACCATATGTCATGTCATCATGTGATATTGGCTTGTACCGTTCCAGCATGGTTGAGGATATGCCCGATTCAGTTTCACTTTTGCGATGCGCGCATCACAGTGCACATACTCTCCACTGGTGCAACTCGGGATTTGTATGAATGTCGGTTTGGTGAAAGTATTATATCGTTAAAGAGGCATGCGCCTGTGCATCTGGATGTTTGTATACGCTGGATTATTTACTTACCTTAAACTGAACACATTTTTTGATGGAGCAAAAAATAATATTCATTCGCCAAAATGACTAATCATGCGCGTTTAGTTTATGGGACGTACGATTAATTTACAACGCATGTCCGCTTGTTCATCGACCGAATATACTGTAGAATACTTTATTTTCGCTTGGAATTTATTTTCGCTGAAAGGATGATTCCATGAAAATAAAATCCAGCGAATATACTTTTTTCCCTATATTTCACATTAAACTCATGAAAAATCAGTGAAAATAAATTCCAAGCAAAGCGCCCAAAAAGCATTTTCAGCGAAAATTAATTCCAGCGAAAATAAAGTATTCCACAGTATTTGTTTGAGCGATCTTAAAGGGCGGCGGTCGTCGCGTCGCGTCCTATTCGATATGGGACTCATAGCGACGTATACGACGAGTGTAAATGCATTGTTTACATGAAACTCGAACACGCGCTGCGTGACGACCACTGCCCTTTAAAGGTTGGTAGTCGCGCGATAGGAGAAACTGTATCCAGCACAATACAGAAGTATATACTAGTACGGCATTGATTTGCTCCATTATTTGTAGCCAAGTCAACTGATATTAACAATAATGGTTGTCCATAGTGATTACAGTGATAATACGCTATTCAAACACTGCGAACACATGCTCTGAAATTAAAATGTATATAATTATGCATTTATATTACTATAGAGAATTTTTTTTATTCTATTCTATTCTATTCTATTCTATTCTATTCTATTCTATTCTATTCTATTCTATTCTATTCTATTCTATTCTATTCTATTCTATTCTATTCTATTCTATTCTA